ACGAATATAAGAGTGAAGAAACTGAAATTCAGTTTAGTAACGTCAACTGAAGCATAAAGATATATGTTGGTGCCCTAATTTTATCGAAACATTCACCATTGTTTGACCAGTCGGACACAAACCTGTCAGACACTGTTTTAGATATTTTACTAGACAAAAAAAAAAACTTACAGTACTCCATCATTGTTGTATGCTTTCAAAATACAACTATTTCTTTTGGAGAATGTGATCAAGCTTTAAAGATATTTTTTGGGGTATTTAAAAATATCTAATGGAATGGCTCCACTTCCTCTGCAGGAATAATTTAAGAGAACCATATGGGAACCCGAGCCCAGAACAAGGGGGAGACTTTGACCTTTTATTTAGAAAATTCACTTTGTCACTAAAAACCTTCTCTGGATATATAAAAAAATAAACAAAAGGAAAAATTTAAATTAGAAATCAAGTATGCAGACTTAAATTAGCATTTATTTTTTACTAAAAATCAGAGGTGGGTAGTAACTACTTAGTTCAGTTACACTTAGTAACTTAAAAAAATAAGTAGTTTTACAGAATTGTACCTTTTACTTGAGTAAAGATATGATAAAGTGCAGCTACTGTTACTGAGTCAAATTCATTCCTACTCCATCCATTTAATCCACTTAATGAAAACAAGCTTGTTTTAAACAAACATGCACAACTGAGAGGACACACTTCCTTCTTTTTGTACTGAAGGCTTATTGGATAAATGTTATTTTTTCATCTCCTGAGTCTGCCGTGTCATTTGGCGGTTGAGGGAAATTACAATAAACAGTATACAGTAATTTAACCTATTCTAACATACTGTAAATATTAATTTAGCAAGTTTTATATCTCAAACATTAAATCAGTAATCAGGTCATGGGCAGAAAGTAGATCAGTTACTCAATACTTGAGTATCCTTTTGAGCAAATACTTTTTAACTATTGAGTCATTTCTGTAAAGCCTACTTTTAACTAAAAATATGATGTAGAGCTTCTTTTACTTAAGTACAATTGTGGGTACTCTACCTACCTCTGCTAATAATGTGTTAATTGTATATTTTTTATGTTCACCGCATCATGTTAAAATATATTTCTTGTATAACCCTTTTTACCAAGACTTTATTAGTTTCAGGTGTGTAAATCAGAAAAAAACATTATTTTATTTTTTTGTATCTCTGCTTCTGTCTCCTTGAACCCCAGATGGCTGCTCACACTGAGCCTGGTTCTGCTGGAGGTTTCTTCCCGTTAAAAGGAAGTTTTTCCTCTCCACTGTCGCTACAAGCATGCTTAGTGTGAGGGATTGCATTCGAGTCAATGAGTCGATGCAATCAACTGGTCTTCCTTAGATAGAAAACTTTGAATCAATTTGACTGTATGATCTGGTGAACTGTAAAGTGCCTTGAGATGACATGTGTTGTGAATTGGCGCTATAGAAATAAACTGAATTGAATTGAAATTAAATTCTCCTATATTCATGGAGTTGTTGCATTGCCATGTTTTTACATTTACCTGATAGGGGTATGTAGATTTTAAATAAGCAAGTAAATAAATAAATCATTAAACCACCCATATTTTCTTCTATTGCTTGCCCAATAACAAAGGTGGGAAACAAAAGAATCCAAACCAAATTAACATCTCTGTTGGATAATGTCTTCCACCCCATGCATAAAGCTGTCACAGAACTGGAGAGCTCCTTCAGTGACAGACTGCTGCACCCTTAATGCACCAGGGAGTGTTATCACAGATCCTTCCTCCCAGCAGCTATAAGACTTAATAACCACCACTGTTTCTATCTTAGTCAGTTAAATAACAGGCTGTCATTTTGCACATCTCTGATGTTGCTGATATTTTCAAATATCCATCACTGTAAAAATGTCCATAGCTGTAGATTGGTTATTTATTCTCCAGGTGCACCGTATTTATATTGTAAAAAAAACCTTTACATTACAGTATATAATTATTTATATTTTAATCTCTCCACTATTATGTTATTCTTATACATTTTTCTAAGGTCCATATGTGTGTGACCACTTTTTTCTATAATCTTTTTGCTGCAGTAAACACCAGAATTTCCCCATTGTGGGACAATAAAGGCAGAGGCGTAGCCAGAAGATTTTTATAAGGGTGGCCAGTCACTTACCAATGTAGACTGAGGGGTGGCTGAAAGCAGATAGGCACCGGAACCTCAGAGTCAATCTACACTGTTCCAACAAAATTAACGAGCACAACATCCATATTTTCTAAATAAAGACAAACTATAATTTCCCACAGCCTTTGCTAACAAATATATTCAAACATCCCTGCTTTCTTGATAAAAGGTAAAGTGGATAAAATTCTTTCAGGTTTAAGTTTTGGGTGAACATCTTTTCCATTGTCCTTACTTACCTACTTTTATCAGTAATCATTCTGCATAAAAATGATATTTACAAGTACTAATATCTACATAAATTGATTATTTAACAAGTTTTTATTAAACTAGTTATTTATTATTTTACTGAAGACCCCTCGATGACTTGCAGAGACACATAATTTTCTCTTTACCCAATAATAATACTTATCCTATTTAATATTAGTATATTGATGTGCTTAATTAACCACAGTGTTTCTCTGTTTGTAATATTTACCTTCTTTATTTATTGTCTGTTATAATCTTCAACTTTATTTATTTATTACTTATTTTATAAGTATTTATTTATGTGCATGATGTAATATTTTGTCTGCTTTATTCTTCCTTTGTATTTTTTTACCCTCCTTATTTCTTCAGCACCATTTATTTCTGCCTGTCGTTTTTACATTTCTGTATGCATTTCTGCCTCATTATGTAAATGTGGAAGGGTGTGTCTTAGGGAGGCAAATATTATCACATGTACATAAATAAATACTTAAAAAGAAGGTAATAAATAAATAAAGTTGAAGATTATGACAATAAATAAATACAGTAATTATTACAAATAGAGAAGCAAATTAAAAGAGATATATACATTTATGTCTCACTGTATAATTTAATTTCTACCTACATTTATTTGTTTATTGGATTTTTTTTTGGGGGGGGGGGGGTAATTGAATGCTTATTTATTTATGGAGCATTTATTTCTTTATTTATTTCTTTTAATATATGGCAGAGTTGGTCCTCCATAGTTGCCACCATCTGTATTAGAGGGAAATAAATGGTAGGGGTGGCCAATGATTGGCTCCCTGGCCCCCATCTAGCTCCTCCCCTGAATAAAATGATTTTCTACTCTAATAATGGTGCCATTATTAGAAGATACTAAAGATACGTCTAGGCCCCATTAGTGATTTATGGTTGACCTTTTGTAGCTGTAGAGATGCAACAACTTCTCCTACAACTAACTATTTAGGTATTATCTGACTGAACTTTATTTATACCCCCAACACATGGCAGCTTTCTACATGATGGTGAGCCGACAGACAGTGGTACTTTTAATTACTATGTTAATAACTGTGTATAGTTCATTAGACGGTTGGTCAAAAATACAATCACTCAATATGCTTAAAACCGCAATAAAGATCTTAAGACAACGATATATTTGGGTTTTATTTTTTTTACAATACAGCTTGGAATTATGGGTAATCCAGAGCGTAGAGTGGAACCACCGTTACGTTACGTACAGTGTGTTGGCGAGGGGGGGCGGTATGGGCATGGGGGGTGTTGCACTTCATACGGCCGGGGCCCACTCAGATAATGTTGCAACTATTGTGTCGTTACGCCATTGATTCTAATTGTATATTAACGGAATAATACGACAACAAAAAATCTTTTTATAATTTTACTTCATGTATATGACAGCCCAGTTGCGTGGCTGTTAGCAGGTTACCTTTGGGTCAGGACCATGTCACTAGCAGACACAGACCCAGCCCTCCCTCCCTCTCTCGCCTGTAAAGAGGCGCCGAGCTTTCCAATCCCTCCATTGTTTTTACCTTTATATCAGGCTGTAACGAGGCTCAATCTAGATCGGCGCGTCTGTTTTTAACTTCACCGTGTTCTAAAATGTTACCAGAGGTCCGGTCGTTAACGTTACAGTTAAACGGAGGTTTTATTTTTATTTTTTTCACTTCCACTGTCCACGGCTACTTCCTGGTGCCACAGAAAGAGGCAGTGCTGAGTTAAAGAGACAGAAATACTGGTAGAAATTCAGACAGAAAAAAAAAAAAACACTGAGAGAGAAGAGGGGCTGGAGACGTGATAGGAACAGTTGACCGGATTCCCAGAAATTGAAATCGCCCCCCTCTCTCCTCTCTCTCTTTATTTCTCTTCTTATTTCTGTATGTATTTTGAATATTTCCTCGGTGAATCGAGCGGTTGCTCTCCGGCGGTGCGGATGACGGTCTGCTGCGGCTGAAGCGGAATTGTAACGGGGGAACATATTCCTCCCTCCGACGGACGGACGGACGGAGAGAAACCTCGCAGAGATTTCTCCCTTTTTTATATATATATATTACTATTATATCCACAGCACACTCGGCGTCGGTTTGACTTCTTTTTCTCCCCCTTTTTTTTTTTTTTTTTTTTTTTTTTTTTTTTGTCAGCAACACATTTTCCTCCCCGGCTGTCATTTTTTTTTATTTCACGTTGATATTATTTCTAACGACTCCACAAGGAAGGGTTGAGGGGGACGGAAGATGGGTTGTTTGGGCAACAGCAAGACTGAAGACCAACGCATCGACGAAAAGGCACAACGAGAAGCGAATAAAAAGATAGAAAAGCAGCTACAGAAGGAGAGGCAGGCTTATAAAGCGACACACAGGCTCTTATTGCTGGGTAAGGTTCATTTCTACGCGGCGGTTTGAAAATGTTTCGTTTACCGAACACGTAGCCCTATTTCTTTGACAGCAATAATATGTCATAGGAGGAGGGGTGGATATTAATGAAAAGCTCCACAACCTACAGTTAACTACCTTAATAATTTAGCTTATGTATCTCCTTTAAAGATGGTTGCTTGATGCTAAATGTGTGTTTTTTTTATATTTGTGTCGAAGGTGCGGGAGAGTCCGGAAAAAGCACCATTGTGAAGCAGATGAGGATCCTACACGTCAACGGCTTCAACGCTGAGTGAGTGCTGCGCATTAAAAGTGCAGAGAAAATAACATTTAATGCTCTGCTTTATGGCTACTCTGCTAATGAATAACAGCGCCGAGGCCAGCATACAGCCTGCTGCCACTGCAGCGCCTGTTGGGCCCTCAACCACCAATGCAAACCTGCTAATATCTGACTTTTACAGCTACATTTAAATAGAAGTAAAATATATATATATATAAATAAGCAAGGATGCAGTTATAAATTGCGAGAGTGTATCACAAGGCTTGTCAGAAGAAAAAAAAAGTGTTTCCTGTTTCACGCATGAGGGAAAGAAAGGTTGTGATCGACATAGGCCTATTGATGATTTGTTTTGCTGCAAGGCCTTGCATGGCATTGATCTTCACTGTGGTCTGTTTGAAACAGGACTGCAACATGTCAGAGTCCTTTCACTGTAGGAAAGTCCTCTACATGTGGATCTTCTAGTGTGAGGCTTGATCAACATGTTCAAGCTTGGGTTCTGATATTGCAGTTTTGTTTTAGTTATTTTTTTAAGATCATGACCCAGTATAACAGTTAAAGTTGTGTTTACATTCAACTCCTGGAGGATTTTAAGTGTAAAATTTGCCCTATTTGATCTGTTTTGTTGCTTATTGTGTGAAATAATCTTAGCAATGGTCTGTTTTTAAAGAGGCCTATTACATCTTTAAGATTTAATAGTAGAGATGTATGAATTGCTTGTTTTTGTTGAAGTAAATCCAATGTTTTATAGTATCATTTGTCAAGAAGATTCATATGCAGCCGTAATGACAATACCTTGATCATTGTGTACCCTGCTCAGACTGTTCTAGTTCAGCATCATTTTACATTATAATTATATTATAACTTAGGGTATTGAGGAAAAGTGTGCGTATACAGACTTTAAAACTTGCCGAAAGAAAAGCTGACCCAGAGCTGCATCTTCTGTGTTTGAAACCACCAGAACTCATCAGGTCGTGTGGTTTGAGCTTCCTCTGGTTCAAATTCTGGAAAATAATCTATTAAGCACATTTGCCTTGATCAATTAATCATTATTTGATAAAACAGTCAACAAACTGACCAGTTAGCTAAATAATCATTAATTCAGCCCAGCTTCTGTTCAAATCATGATATACTTAAAGTGTAGATTATGTTGAAATAAGATTTTAGTTCTGCTTTGCTGCTGAAACACCTTTAACCCCTTGTCCCTGGCTCTGGTCTGTTTAACACAGGCCTATAATAGATCAGAGTCCTAAATTTTAATCCAACTTCCTGGATCTACTCAATTCCTCCTACAGCGTATTTACTGATAAACTCTGAGTTTGAATTGGCTACTGGTACCAGTAGTAGTTTCAGTTTAATTAAAATGCGATCTGACATGCAGGCCATTGTAACGACCCATGCAGGTTTTTTAAGGTTGATGCCGATTATTTTGCACCAACTTAGCTGAGCTCCAATATGTGCTGCCATTACTTTTTTTTCATTCATTTATTTATCTGTTGGGTCAAATTTGCTTCCTTCTCCATTTACATGTTAAAAAATTACCTTATAACAAATGTTGCACAAATCTTAATTTAAACAAAATGGAACATTTATTAGGAAATTCAAAGAAAAAATAAGAAGGATGAATAGCAAATGCCTTACATGAGCTCATGGCATGCTTGCCGAATTTATCGGCAGATATAGATAAGGAAATAAAGCCTGATATCGGCCAAAAATACCAGCTGGCTGATGTATCGATTTATTTCTAGTGTACTTTAATAAAAACTCTTCCTTATGTTTCGGTTTTTCTTTCAAGCATGACCTGACGCACAAATGGTGGAGATGAAACTTTCCAAACAAAAGCAGTAGTGGTTGGCTTTTCCAAAATAGAGACAACCTGATTTGTCTGAGGAAATAAGAACCTTTTTGTATTTCTAATCAAGTATTTTCTGCTGACCATTGAGGTTCAGAGCCCTGGTAGACCCGAGGCACCCTGATTGGATTTGTGTTACATAAGGAGGGGAAAGGTGAATGGCTTTCTAGCCGTTACAAACAAATTTTCACAGGAACACCTTAAAATGCAGCGGGAAGATCTGAAAATCGAGTACATTTTACGTACAGTACGAGTACAAATGTAGCCATTTTGTTAGTTGGCGTATTCTAATGTCACTATAGCACGTTTAAAATGTTGTATGCTGATCTCAGCTACAGGGTTCTACAAATGTTTACATGTCATAGGTTTACATAAAAGGTATCAGGGCATAACAAAGATTTTCAGTTTCTTCAAACTTTTTTTTAACCTACTTTTTAGTGGAGTCTTTTGATATGTTCGTAAATTACTGTATTTTCCGGAGTATGAGCTGCTCCTTTTTTCCCACGCTTGGAACCGTGCGGCTTGTAAGAAAGTGCAGCTTTTCTGTGGATTTATCCTAACCGTTAAGCGGCGGAAGTAAAACTTAGAAATCAAAGAAGAAGGGGCTAATTTTCATTTAGAACAAGTACATGCTAACAGCAGGCATGATGGAGAACAAATGCCCAGAATTCACACATTTTGACATTTATTTGCTGCATTAAAACTGTGGATTCAATGAAGAGACTGTGCTCAAGTCCTGCAGAGCAGAAATAAAGAGCTGATGAAGCCCCATCTTTCATTAGAAGCTCTTACTACTGCGAACCAACAAGCTAACAGGAGCTAGCATTCTTCTTCGTCCCTACTCGAGGAGCTATATGTTGAGCTCCCCCTACAGATTTGGAGGGAGACTGTTCAGTAGACATCTGTGGCTTATATATGTACATTTACACAAAAAAACCCCCCCCAAAAACTCAGTGCGTGCAGCTATAGTGAGGTGCGCTCTCTAGTCCGGAAGGTAAAATAGAGATTTAGGAGTCAATTAAAGGGGATAGTGCATAGAACCTTATGAAACGAGATTCATTCTAAATGTAAAGATTATATTGGATCCTCCTGATGTAGATGTCTGTTAGAGGAGTACTTTTGCTATGTTGCATGGCTATTTATTTCTAGGTAACACAAACTTCAGCTGGACGTTTTGGTTTTAAGCAGACAGATTCTGGTCATTTTGTGCACAGTTTAAATTTAACGTAATAATCTGCGGTTTAACTGATGGCCTTTATGTAATTATGATATACCTTTAAATTTCATTTTAAAGCATAGCAGGAAATTAACTGCAGCTACGGAAGCTTTAATGTTTAATAAATGGTCCATGTGACATGCAAGTATTGCAGAATATTACTTTTTAACCAAAAACAGAATTGAAAAACAGACATTTACATGTCTGATCATGGATTCCATAATTTATTTGAATCCTTTTCCTTTTTTGAAACGTATTCATTCTATATTAATTGATGGTGGTCTTTTGGACCCTCACTGAGGGGCCAGTTAATTTTTTTCTCCATTGTGAGATGCTAGCAGGGAAAACACTTCCTTAACTTGTTCGTGTGTAGTTATGGTCTAGAGGGGTTAAGGTTTTAGGGTGAAGCAAATTGAAACCAACCAAGCTAAAAATTATTCAGCCTTCTAAAGGGGTGAATAAAATAACTAAAGCTGATATTAATGCATACATTTCCCCAACAAACCCTCCATCTTTGAGATTGTCCTTTAACCCTGTTGTCCTTGCTTCTTATCATCCCTGCACACTAAACTTAATACTTAATTCTTCAGTTTCGTAATAATGTCATTTATCTATATTTTCCATGCATTTTGTGGTTTAAATAATAGAAGCTGCACATAAACTACAGCTGACTGCATAATTTCTAAACATTTAGTATGATATGATGATTCAATGATTGCTCTGTACTTGAGTAGCCTTTTTACCGAATACTTTTTTACCCTTACTTGAGTAAGTTCTTGAATGATTTCTGTTTACTTGCATAGAAAAATGTAGTGTTACTTTTACTTGAGGACAAGTTTTGAGTCCTCTACCCTCGTCTGGGTAATTTGCTGGTTCAATATGAGAAACCATCTCAATGTGGAGACGGGGATTCATTTCTTAGCCAAAATTTAGCATTGATATTAGGAAAAAAAACTATAGAATGTGAACTTTGCAAAAGTCTGCATTTTCTATTACGTGCTTTGTAGGAACCCTGTATTTTGGTAAACACTGTATAATGAATGTGTCTTTTATCCATGCAGAGAAAAGAAACAGAAAATACAGGATATTCGGAAAAACGTGAAGGATGCCATAGTGGTGAGTTTGCATTTATACTACCAAACAAAAATGCTCCCCCTGCTGTCCCATTTGACCGATTATTGTACCCGCTTTTAGCATTCCCCCCCTCCTGTTATCATCCTGCTTAGTGCCTCTTCTATTTTGTGTCCCTTTTCTGCTTTATAGACTATAGTGTCTGCGATGAGCACTTTAATACCCCCAGTTCCAATAGCCAATCCAGAGAACCAGTTTAGGATCGAATACATCAAAAGCATAGCACCACTCTCGGACTTCGACTATCCACAGGTAAGAGCCTTTGTTTGTTTAAAAAAAAACAGCAACAACAAAAAAATGCTATACCTTTGTGTGTGTATTTTTGCTTTGGTGCTTTTAAAAAAAATCTTTTTCCCAACGTGTGCTTGCGTGGGCGTTAGATGGCATGCGATATAATGGGTTTGCTGTTTCAGCAGAGAGGTATGTCCGACAACATTGATCTGAGAGATAAAACTCAGGGTTTTTTTAGCTGGAATTTTGAGGTTTCCTTAAATTTCTTTTTGTTTTCCCTGATATCAATGCTGGTTTTCTTAAGAATCCTTTGCTGTTTCCTTAATAAAAACAGAGAGGAAATTGCACACTGGGGTCTTGTTGGGTGGTTGGTTCCGTGTTAAAGGTGTGGATTTGAATGCAGAAGTTGGAGCACACGAGGTTCTTCTGTGTGTGTGATCATCCATTCAATAGCACAAGGTCATGTGTTGGAAATGTAGATAATGTTTTACATAATTCTGAAAGTCTTCCTTGTTTGACGGTGGCTTTGCAGCACCACAGATCAGGAATGACGAATTGATAAAGAGCTATAGATAGATTTTACTGTAACCAAACGGAAGTATGAGCTGTTTGTCCTGTGTGAATGAAACACCGGGTTAATCTGCAGTCTGTTTGTTGATCCTTTGGTAATTTGCTTTTTTTTTTTTTTTTTTACAGTTTACAGCAGTTGATTTATCTTTTGTTCAATGTTTTCAACTAGAAATCAAACCGGAGACATTTAGAGACACTAAATAGTAGGGGTGTCCCAATGCAACATTTTAATTTCCAATAAAATTCCTATATTGCTGCTTTGAGAAATTGCTGATACGGTAATAACCCGATACGATGTTAGTAAGAATCATACCAGCTATTATTAATAGAAATGGCTTGATCAAGTAATATTACTAAAACAGAGAACAAAAGTCGACAACAGACAGTACGAAAACAACGGACCCATGTAAAATTAACCAATAAGTTACAGAAGCTTTTAATAGAAGCAGAGTGTTTTTATCTGCATGAAAATATCAGAGATTTTAGATGCCGGCTGATAAAATCCAACATTAGTTTTTTGGCTAATATTGGTCTAATTAAAATTGGATCGGGACATCCCAACTAAATAGGCAGCCAAAAGTTTGATGTAGCTCAGCTCTAGGTAGTGATTTAAAAGGGCAAATACTGAAATCCTGATTTTTGTCCCCTATTTAAAAATAAAACCCAAAACTCTAGAAATGAATGGTCTATAAGTACATCAATCAACTTAGATTGATGTACTCGTAGACCATAGAAACTTAGAAATGTGCACACTTTAGAAAAAGTATTAATCCCTTTATTTTTATATATTTGTTTCCTATTAGGAAGAGTTCAGTAAACATAGCATACAGTTTTTTTTTTTAAATATTGTATTTATTCAGGTTAAATAGCTAATCAGATCACTGTTGGAAAACATTGTGGAACGCTCAGCAGCAAAAACTTGCATAAACCCTAGCATTCACATTCTGAGGGGCTTTTGTTTTTGAGTTTGCATGGTCTGTTAAAAGTTGTGCAAAACCGTGTCAATAGCATTTAAGTAAAGACTTTGACCAGGACACTCCAAAACCTTTTTTTGTTTTTTAATACAATGCATAAAGTGTATTACAATCTTATATCTAGCCAAAATGTCTTTTTGATCATGTTTACAGATTGAAATACTAAACAAGAACAGATTCTGTTAGATAATTATAATTTTACTCAGAAATAAGTGCAATAATCTCCCGGTGGGGTAAGATTAATGTACTTGGTAACACTCGTGGTTTCGAGAATAATCTGAATCTTACCGGGCTAATCGTCTTACTGCTCTGGTTGATTTTTGCATTTATCTCTGAGAAGAATCTTCTCAAAGCTAAATTAATAATCCAACAGAATCTGTTCTTTCTTAGTATATCAAGCTTAAAACAAGATCAGAAAGACTTTTTTTGGCTAGATCTGATTGTTAGATGGTTAGATGGACAATTTATGCAGTGTAGGTCACAAACTGATGACCTGACAGTCTCTTAAAGGGTTTTCTGACAAATGACAGAATTTATGATTCCATCAGTTACTTAAATTTATTTGGCAGTACTTTCAGTCTTGCAATTTTCATTGATATCATGTTTCTTCCATCTCCTCCCCATTGTTAAATTGTGAACTCTGACATTAAGTGGAGCAAGTGAACTGTGCCGTGCTTTAGGTGTTCTATGTGATTTTTGTGACCTCCTGGATCAGCCAGTGATGTGTTTTGGGTCTTGATTTTGCTAGATCAGCCATTCATGAGAACTTTCCCCATTGCCATATTTTTTTTTCAAAGCGTTAACTTGCTTTATTAGCCCACCCAGACTCATATGAAAAAAATTTTCAGCTCAGTATTTGTTTTTGTCGTTTTTAGATCTTTGAGCCTACTTCATCTTGTCTGACAGATTCTATTTTAAGTCACTCTTGTTTCCACAGTTCTCATATTAATCAGGCCTGGGTGTGGCTACAGAACCTCAACTCAACTTTTTGGAGAAAAGTTTTTAATTTACAGGTACCTCTTGATTAAATAAGGGGTACGATTACAGAAAGTCAGATTGAAGAGTTCCAAAATAATCTTTGCATATCTTGCATATGTAATAAATTAATTTTCTACCAATTTTCTGCAAACTTCGAAACTTGCTGTGTAGAGCATAATGTTTGCTTTGTTCCCCTCCCCCACCTGTTGCTGCATAGAGGCTGATTTATACTTCGAAAACTAGGTCGTCTGCGTAGGTGTCGCAGTGAACAAAAAGCCGTCCCCGCCACCTCTGCAGACACTCTGCTGCACCTCTCCCACATTTTAGGGGACCGCAGGCAGGAGGCCGTCTTGTTTTGTTTTATGACCACAATTGTGGAAAACGGCTTGTGAAGTTTGACCAGCTAGAAGAGCGAGGCGCATGAGAATGCTGGGACCCTTTTTCAACCTGGATCCCCGCTTTTTTTCGCCCTCATGTCCCTCCATTGTCGCACAAACTTGCCCCCATTTCCTCACCGCCTCGGCCGTATCGAGACCCGCAGCTAGTTCATGATTTTCCCCTTTTGCGTTGTGGTGTGGAATAACATAGCACAGACCACGCTTCAATATTTAGCATAAATAAAAAATGTCTGCGTCAAGCTCACCACGGCACACTTTTGCAGGGAGTATAACCAGCCCTTAAGTCACTCCATTCAATTAAATCAGTCCAAGCCAGACCAGTCCATATAATCACAATATGTGCTGCAGTGTTTCTCTGTCTTTTAAGTTTTGTTTTCACACACCTCTATCAAATCCTGAGCACAGTGTTTGACTTTTAGCAGCTTTATTTAACTCTTTAAAAACCAGTCTGTTAGTTAATATCCCAACTGACTGTGTGACACCAATGATGTGTCATATTGTGTATGGGGCCAAGGGGAGAAGCATTGATTTACCAGGGCCCTGCCCAGGCCGAAAGGAAACAACATGGCTCTGTTTGGACCTTTTGTGGTTGTTATCAATGTCGGGCTTTACTTTTGTCGTCAGTGTCACCACCACATTGTTGCTCACCTCCACCAGACTTGATATCCAGTGTCCATCCAAGTGACCCGGCCAATCTGCAGCCTGTGGCTTTCATCTGGTGGCGCCAGTTTGAGATCTTGGAAGCCTGTTTTGCTCTAAAAATTTGGAATAGGTGATGCCATTTTTTGTGATAAGAAATAGAGTAAATGGACATTAATTTGTCCCCTTAGGTGTCACTGAAGTGATTCTTGTTTTTTTATAAGGTCAAACTGAGCTGCTTCAAAGGTTTCAGCAGGCCCCAAGGAGGATGAATTGTGAGTCCTTTCAGTTGCTCCCTCATTTAGGGCTCACCACAGCAAATCGTTACAACTTGCACTTGGACGTTTTAACGCTGGCTGCCCTTGTTGATGCAACAGGGATTCGAACCAAGGTCCTCGGTTTCAAAATTGGAGATTTAGCCAGAGAGATTATGCGTCTATTAGATCAGAAACCACAAACGGTGGAAGTGCTTTGGAACAACTAAACCATCTAAAATATACAGGAGGACTCCTTGGATTATTTATTTCAATACCTCCTAAAAACTGCTAAACTACAGGGAGAAATAAAAAATAAAAGCTGTAAAACTGTATAAATGGACATGGGGTGATTTTCAACATTTAAGGCATTGAAATATGAATTTTACTGTGAAATTGTGGTTTTGCTTTTAGCAGATAGCTGTAATTATGAGATGCATAGATCAACCTTTGCATTGATGGTTTTACTCAGTACTTTTTTTTTTTTTTCAATATAACATTTCTTCTTGATAGAATCTTGTGCCTTATATTAGGTTAGAATTTATATTAGTATATGTTAGTTTATACTAGATATATATTTGTTTGGTAGCTAGCTAAGACAGAGCAACAACAAATGTTTTGATTGGTAGATACTGATTATATGGGATCTCACTCTTAGTTCTTGGCAGAACCATAGAAATAGTAGAGCTACACCAGCGAAAGACTAAGAAAGTTAGGTTATATACAAAATACAAGCACACTATGATTAACCTGATAGATTTGGGATTTTTTTCACCAAAATACACACCCATTAGGAAAATCTTGCTGACTGAGATGTTGTTCTGTTAGCCATATATATATATATATATATATATATATATATATA